ACTGGGTATAAATAGAAGTGTTTCTTCTCCATGCAGAGTGCGCACATCACTCTCTATTCTCATTCTTACTTCAAGCTTCTTTCAGCTTAAGTAAAAGAATCTTTTGGCAATATCTTTTCTTATATTTTCTATTCTTTGTGTGTATCTTAAGATTGTTTAGATAGGTTTCTTATAACTTATCTTTCCGCAAACAATCTTGTAAAATCTGTATTGATCTTCTTTATCAATATATATTTTAAATTTGAAAATTGTGTTTGTATTCATCCCCCCCCTTCTACAAACTGTTTAGTATTCTTGTAGACCCTTTGGGACCAACAAAGCCCAACTGACGGAAGATGACATAGCACAAGGCAAGGAAGAACGAGCCTTGATTGGAGATTAAAAAAACGGGAAGGTCCACCGAGGCCCGCAAAGAAGATGAAGACCTTTGAAAGCGGAAGAAGCACCAATTCTTGTCGAGAAGTGAAGTGGTGCTTTAGGTGCTGAAATAAACGTTATGACCCATGTAATCCAAACCCAATCGAATGTTTCAAGTGCGTAAATTCAGGCCACATCGTCTAAGACTGCTCCACTAAGGGAGTATTGTGCTTCGAATGTTGCGAGCAAGGGTATGTCAAGAAGGATTGCCTAAAACTAAAGGAAGAGAACAAAGGGGTTTCAAGTGGAAATTCTACAAAGAAGAAGTACCCACCAATATTGATGGATCAAGCATTCAAGATGTCCAATGAAGAGGCAAAGGAGGTTGCCGATGTGATGTTGGGTACGTTCTTAGTTAACTCCTTACTTGCACGTGTTGTGTTTGATTCAGTTGCTAACCGTTCTTTCTTATCAAATTCTTTTTGCAAACATTTTGTAACTGTTTTTATCACTCTAGTTGATCCACTATTTGTAGAAGTGCCAATGGTGACTAAGTTTTAATCCACAAGTGATTTGAAAATTGTATGCTAGAAATTGATTGGAAACAATTCTTGGCAAGCTTATTAACCATGTCTATAGTGGGTTTGATGCTGTGATAGGGATGGACCAATTAGTTGAAAATCAATTCGAGATCTTTTGCTCTAAGAAGTTGATCCAAATATCTATGGCCAATAGGGAAACAATGACAGTTTTTGGGGAAAGAAGTAAAGGGACAACTTCGATCATCTCCTCAATCAAGGAGAGCAAATGTCTATCAAAAGGGTGTCTCTCATACCTAGCTTATGTTCACGATACAAAGTTAGAAAGTAAGAAACTAGAAACGTCAAAGTGAATCGTGAAACTTTTGGATGTTTTCCAAGATGATCTACCTGGCTTACCACCAGAACGTTAAGTAGAGTTCCATATCAACCTCGTTTCGGGAGCAATACCGATTGCTCGTGCTCTTATCGCCTAGCACCAACAAAGATAAAAGAAATGATCACTTAATTACAAGAGTTGCTTGAGAAGGGGTTTGTAAGACTGAGCTCTTCATCTTTGGAAGCTCCGGTGCTCTTTACAAAGAAGAAAGTTAGGTCTATGCGGATGTACATAGACTATAGAGAATTGAATAAGGTGACATGAAGAACAAATACCCGCTTTCTAGAACTAATGACCTCTTTGATCAATTTCAAGGGGCTGGATTTTTCTCAAAAGATTGATCTTAGTTCTAGATATCACCAAGTAAGAGTAAGAAGTGAAGATATTTCAAAGACAGCCTTCTGGACAAGGTATGGACATTTTGAGTTTCAAGTGATGTCGTTTGGATTAACGAATGCTCCAACTGTGTTCATGGCCTTGATTAACCGAGTATGTCATCCTTTCTTTGACTATTCAGTAATAGCGTTCATTGACAACATCCTCGTGTACTCAAAGAATGAAGTCGAGCATGAACGTCATCTTCTAGAAGTTCTTGAAGTTCTTGAAGTTCTTTGAAAGAAATTGTTCGCTAAGTTTTCTAAATGTGATTTTTGGCTCTAAGAGGTGCAATTTTTGGGTCATGTTGTATCTAGAGAGGGAGTAAAGGTAGACATGTCCAATATTGAAGCAATGATGAATTGGGAACCACTAACGAGCCCAACAAAAATTAAAATTTTTTGGGATTAGATGACTACTACAGAAGATTCATACAAGACTTTTCAAAGATCAATTTGCGACTAACAACTTTAATAAGGAAGAATGTCAAGTTTATATGGTCTGAATCTCAGGATCAAGCTTTCGAAATCCTTCAAAAGAAGTTGTGCAAGGCATCGGTCTTATATCTACCCGAAGGATTGGAAGATTTCATGGTTTTTATTAACACTTCTAAGATGGGTTTGGGATGCATGTTGATGCAAAGAGGGGAGATAATCGCTTATGTGTCCCATCAATTCAAGGAACATGAGAAGAACTACCCGACACATGATTTGGAGCTTGAAAAGGTAGTTTTTGTATTAAAGTTATGGTTGCAGCATTACCTCTGTGGGACTAAATGTAACCTTTTCACCGACCATAAGAGTTTGAAATACATTTTCGATTCAAAAGCCTAAATATGCGTCAGAGAAGGTGGTTAGAATTATTGAAAGACTATGATTGTGAATTTTTTTTACTATTCTGGTAAGGCGAATGTTTGGCGGATGCTCTAAGTCGAAAGAGTCATGGTGGAGGCATTCAAATGTCACTTACGAGAATTAATGTAGTGTCAAGCCTAATTAAGAAAATCAAAGCATCTTATACGAGGCACTTCTAGAAGAAAAACTACAGAAGGTCAAGGTAAAGCAACAGGACTTGTTGGCAGAAGATAGTCGTGGACCAAAGTTTTCTCAAGGCCGAATTTTGGTACCAAAGTTGGGAGGAAACTGGGAGCTACTTTTGAAAGACGCTCATAAATCCAAGCATTCCATTCATCCCAGTAGCAAAAAGATGTATAGAGATTTAAATTTAAAATATTGGTGGCCGGTTATGAAGCTTGATATGGCAAACTATGTGGAACTGTGTGTTACTTACCTTCAAGTCAAAACAGAACACCAAAGACCATAAGAAAGTCTTCAGTCGTTAGAGATTCTATAATGATGGACTTAGTGATGAAATTACCAAGGATATTGAGGGGTCACAACACGATTTGGGTAGTCTCTCAATTGACCAAGAGTACCTATTTTTTAGCAATGCAAGAAACCTTTCAAATGGATAAGTTAGAAAAGTTAAATATTAATGCAATGATCTCAAGACATGGTGTGCCCTTGTCTATTGTTTTGGATTAGGACAGTCGATTCACCTCTAAGTCTTGCATGGTCTACAAAAAAGAGTTAGGATCAAATATAAAGTTAAACACTACATATCACCCTCACACACAGACAAAGCGAAAGGACTATTCAAACTCTTGAAGACATGTTAAGATCGTGGGTTATCAACTTTGGTGGCAATTGGGACTCTCACTTACTGATGGTAGAGTTTGCTTACAATAATAGTTACCACTCAAATACCGGATGGCTCCGTTTGAAGCCTTGTACAACTCGAAATGTCAAACTCCATATGTTATCTTGAAGCGGGAGAGAAGCAGTTTGTCGGACCGGAAATTGTTCTAGAGACGATGGACAAAGTGAAAGGCATTCGGGAACATCTGAAAGCAGCTCAAGACTGTCAAAAAATTTACGCTGACAAGAAGAGACAACCGGCTGAATTCCAGGTGGGAGAATGGGTCATGTTGAAGGTGCCCCATGGAAGGGTATTATCCGATTTGGAAAGCATGGGAAGCTAGTCTTTGTTCCTTGGACAGTTCACTATTTTGAGTCAGGTGGGTCTACAACTTATAAGTTAGAACTACCACCGGAGATGGAAGGCATCCATAACACATTTCACATATGTTATATACAACAGTGCTTAGCGAAAGAGAAGAGTGTCATTCCTCTATCTGAATTTCATATGGATGGGAACAATCGATGCATGGAAGAACCCTACGCTATTTTGGAGAGGAATTCCAAGAAGCTTCATCATAAAGAGGTGATTATGGTCAAGGTTAATAGAAACACCATCAAGGTGCGACCATTACTTGGGGAAGCCGAAGATGATATGAGAAAGCGATACCCTCATTAGTTCAAGTAGGCAAGATTTCGAGGGCAAATTCATTTCCAAGGTGGGGAGGTGTTAGGACTGAATTTTAGTGTTAAATTGTATTCGTCTTGAAAGATAAAATTGTCTATAATTGTAAAATAGACATCGTGTTTTACTTTTCTAGTGAGTTTGACTTTGACTGGTGGGTTTCATGTTTGACCCTATAAATAGCTTTTCTTAGTGTAATTGTAGGTAAGAGCTTCATTGTAAAATTCAGATGCGTATATGTTTTTTTAATAATTTGACCTTTTCTCTCAACCTCCTTCAAGTTCTTGAATGCTAAAATCCATATCTGCCATGTATTGCTTAGGAGTTTATCCAGAAGATTGATCATAAGGACTTTCAGGAAGATTGTAACACCGAAAAATTTTAAGTAAGTAAAATTCCTGAATTTCATATTTATCGTTACTTTGTTTTTTAATAACTAAAATTAGGTATATGGTAGTCTGGTTACCATGCTAAGCAAGGAAATAGGCTCAAATAAGTGAAGAGTGAGAAAAACCTTTGGTATATGTCTTGCTAATGTGTCGCGATTGTTCTAGTCAGGATCACCCCATATGTCTAAAGTACATCTCGTGCTATAGTGCCAGTGATTGTGCCAATGGCACTATCACATGCCAGTGATCGTGCTTCTTTCTTCATTTACTGCTCTCATCTACCTCACTTCTTCTTCAAAAATTCTACTAGGGTTTTGCACCAAGATTAAGACTGAATCTTTTCAAGTATTTTATGGTTTTTGTGATGTTTTCAAGTTAGGAGCAAGATCCAAGTTCATCACCTCCAGTTCTAGGCTATTATCATTTTTCTAGGTTTTCTCTAAAAAACTAGTAGGTGAGTTTTAAATACTTTGTAACACTAGATACATACCTGAATGTGTTATTTAATGCTACTACAAACTTTAATTTCATATATAACATGTCCATTTGGTGATTTGAACTTACTCCCATATTTAGCATTTACATATATTTTGGGATCAAAGTTAGGTTAAAGTCAAAATGATGATTTCTAGTATATGATATACACTGATTTGGAATGGTTTATATGAAACTTGATTTATCACCTTGATATATTCATGAAAATCATATTGGTCTTATTATTGACCTAAAATTGTGGTATACTCTCCAAATGCTAGGCATATGATTAGGAACGAGATTATAAGCTCATGTTGTAATTATTTAATATGAAAAAATGGAAGTCGCCAAAATATTGATTTGTTGGACATTTCACTTGAGATTTATGAATGTGTAGACTATCAAGTAATAACTAAAAGGTTGGGTCTTGAGGTGCTACTTTTGTAGTAGGCACAAAGAACCACAAAGCTTGAGGTGCTACTTTTAATGTAGGCACTAAGTTTTTGTGAGCCTTGAGGTGTTATCCAAAGAGATAGACATTAAGGTCAACCTAATCTTGAGGTGAAACTTGTTTTTATTCATTGGGTACTTAGACCTTATGATCAATTATGCACACCTAATACCATTGGATGAGAAGCATACTCTTTTTTCCTCTACTTCTGATGGACACGAGTCTCCCTCGTCAATCCCAAAAGAACATTATATTTGGTTCACATATGGTTATCATAATGGACTATCTTTATGTTCATGCTCACTAGGATTTTTGGCCTAACACTTGTTTGGTGTCGGCATGTATCTCAGGTTCGAAAGGTGAGAACGCATACACGGTCCTTTACCATCTTAAGGAGCTTTCGGGAGCATTTTGAGACGCCACCTTTGAATTTATTTTGGTGGTTTAGGTGACACTCAATTGTCATCTTCTTTCTATATGAAATTAGATTAGGAGGTTGTTATCCTCATACCCTTTTGCTACAAATTGTAATTAAACAGGAACATTTAAGTTTCCCCTTTTGTGGAAGGCACATACTCTGATATTTATATACCGTATTTCCGTCTTTTTCCGAATTTTGTTGTCCATTTTTGGGGTATTACACTGCTTGGTGTTCGTAGTGCATCTACGATATCCCTTATCGTTCGCGGTCTTTGCTCTAGTTAAAGAGTTTTCGGCATCAACAGTTTCGTTATCTCTTTTGTTTATTATTTTTTAGTGTTTATTTCGAATGATTTCCTTTAATTGTAAAATCTCCACAAACCAGCCTTAAATTATCTTGGGTGTAAGTTTTGGCATAAACAATCGCTAGTTGGGGCCTTATGGTGAGCGCCAAACTGTTTATGTCAAAAATTACACCGAATATCAACTTCTTCGAAATAAACACGACAATTAATAAATAAGAAAAAAGAGATGAGGAAATTGGTGACGTGAAAAACCCCGTCGAGGGTAAAAACCACGGACAACATTATAGTCGTCAAGGCACTATGAACTTCAATCAAGAACGTCGTCCTTGATAACGATGATTACAATGAAAAGTTGTGGACAAACACAAGGTGTTCTGCTTAAACTTAAGAAAACAGTGATAAATCTCTTTACCTTGCCTTGATGGTTCATTATTTACAGCTTTGGTTGATCTGATGTCCTTGCTTGAATGTGTTGATCGTTATTATAGGTACTTTAAGTAACCACAATAATGGTCATCTTTAAATGCCTTTATGAAGGTAACGGTAGGTTCTTGATTGAGCCACTAAATGTTGGTCGGCGGTTACTTTTGGTGAGTTAATGATGTAAATCTTGTCATAAATCTTCAATACCTGTAACAAAAATCAAAAGTAAGAATGTCGCGGTTAGTATAGAGTAGAGGATGTTGTGACTTTAGTGTACCGTGATTAGTCATGACCATAGGTCAATGTAAAACCCAAATTTTGGAAAATAAATAATTTATCTTTATTCGCTATTTCTATTTTAAATTATATTAAATAGAAATTTAAAAATAAGTCTAAGATCGGGCCAAAAGAA